TTACCTCCCTAGACTGAAGGATAAATAAATATATAAAGAAAATATTGACAGATTTGAAGGGAAAAGTTGTCAGTAAAACAATAATTATAACTCCATTTTCAATAAAGAATAGAACATCTAGATACAAACTCAATTAAAAAGCAGGTGACTTGAATAACACTCTAGATGAAATTGACCTACTCAGACATATTTAGAACTAGAGAATACACACTCTTATCAAATAAACATGGAATAGTCTCTAGAATGGATCAAATTTTAGATCACGATATAGGTAGACTCTGTCTCAAAAAAATGAACAACAACGACAAAAAAAAAAAAAAACAGGTAAAGAAGGAACTGACCTCCACAAACTAGAGGCTATTTATTAAAACACCCACAAATAATATAATAACCAATCGGGAACAGAACTTTTCCTAGAAAAGTACAAATAAGGATGCTCACTCTTGCTGCTCTATGTAATATAGAGCAGTTAGACAAAAGAAAGAAATAAAAAGCATCCAAATTAGAAAGGGACAGAAAAAATTATCTCTGTTTGCAGATGATATGATCTGCTATCTAGAAAACCCTATAACTCCATTAAAGAAGAAAGAAATGGTTAGAACTAATAAACAAATTCACTAAAGTTGAAGGATACACATTCAACATAAAAAATCAGTAGCATTTATTTAAAATCCAAAAAAGAAATTTTAAAAACCTTATTTATAATAATGTTAAAAAGAATAAAATACTTTATTTTTTTATTTAATTTTTATTAGATCACAACTGTATACATTTTATGGGGCCCAATGTGATGATTTGATGTACAATGTGAAATGCTTAAATCAAACTAATTAATATAACCATCACCTCACTTATTTTTTGTAGTAATAAATTTATAATATGCTCTTAGTTGTTTTGAAATGTGCATTATGTACATTAGGTGAGATTCCATCAAATACCCTCCCTCCAATAGCCCTGCCCCTCCCACTCCTCCCTCCTCTCCCCTCTGGACTATCTTTGTGTTTTATCATTTGGATGAATGTGTAAGTGTCTATATATTCATTTCATAATAGTACTGAGTACATTGGACACTCTTTTTTTCCATTCTTGAGATATTTTACTAAGAAGAATATGTTCCAGCTCCATCCAGATAAACATAACGGACATAAAATGCCCATCTTTTTTTTGGTTGCATAATAGTACATGGTATACATATACCACAATTTGTTTATCCATTCATGGGTTGATGGGCATTTAGGCTGCTTCCACAAGTTTGCTATTATGAATTGGGTGCAATAAATATTCTGATGTAAATGTCTTTGTTGTAAAATGATTTTTGTTCATCTGGGTAGATACCTAGTAATGATATTGCAAGATCAAACAGTAGGTCAACTTTCAGTTCCTTGAGAATTCTCTATACCTCTTTTCAAAAAGGTTGTATGAGTTTGCAATACCACCAGCAGTATAAAAGTGTTCCTTAAAATATTTTAGAATTAATTTAACCAAAGCGGTAAAAGACCTGTATTCTGAAAACTATAAAACACTGATGGAAGAAATTAAAGAGGACACAAATACATAGAAAGACATCCCATATTCGTGGATTGGAAGAACTGAAATTATTAAAATATCCATACTACCCAAAGTGATAGGGTATTCAATGCAATACCCTATCAAAATAGGATACCCAAAGTGATAGGGTATTCAGTGCAATACCCTATCAATAGGATATTCAATGTAATCCCTATAAAATTCCAAAGGCATTATTCGCATAATTTTTTTAAAAATTCTAAAATTTGTATGGCCCCACAAAGCATTCCAAATAGCCAAAGTAATCTTGAC